TGGTACTGGGGATTGAACTCAGGACCTTGCACTTTCAAGGCAGGCAGCCGCACCACTAAGATAAATCCCCGACCCACCCACCTTTTTTGGGGGGGTTTTTTGGTGGTTGTTTCTAGACTCTTTCTATTATAAATGTTTATGCATTCTTTTCTAAGTCATGTGTCACTTAAAGACCAGGGAGACACCTTCAGAGAAACACTTCACCAGGTGATTCTGTCCCAGTGTCAACACCCTGGGGTAGATCACACAGACCTAGCCCGGTGGATGGGCCAACCTCTCGCCTTGGCCTTTGTTCCCACTTAGAATGCTGGGGATGGAATCCAGGGCCTCGAGCATGGTAGGCAAGTGCTGTGCCACTGAGCTACATCCCCACCTTCTTCCTGGCCTCTTCACGCAATGCAGAGACCTGGTAAACACGAGATGTATGAACTATTGCCGATGTGGTGTAGCATATTGCTTTAAAGTCAATGCTTTTCCCCTGCTAAGGTAAAGACTTGCTTTTTGTTCCTGTAAAAAATAATAATAAAGTCAATTATTTGGCCCACGCCCATAGTCCCAGCATTTGGGAGGCTGAGGCAGGAGGACTGCCACAACTTTGAGGCAGCCTGAACTACATATTGACATTCTCTGTCTCTCCTTGCCCCAACTAGAAACCGCCAGTCTCCTGAGGTGTAGTCTGTCTTAAGATTGAGCCAGTATCCTGATGCTAGGTACAGCCGGGACCCTAAAAGCCCAGTGGACAGGCGCCCTCTGTGTCGCCATCAGACCTGGTGTCCTGACTGCTGGTCTCTCCACAGGATGAGGGTGACCCAACCCGAAGAGGACGGCCTGGGTCCCGAGTGCCGCTCCCGAGCTGAGTGTCTGCAGCAGCCAAGAAGCCCCACAGCCTGCGGCCCCATGGAGAAGAGTCTTGCTGTACCCCAGGAGCGCCGGGACTGTGTGCACAGTCTGAGGATGAGGAGCAAATATGCCCTTTTCTTGGCTTTCGTGGTGGTAGTTTTTGTCTTCATTGAAAAGGAGAACAAAATCATATCGAGGTGAGGGGCTCAGAGCGAGTCTCCCTCTGCAAGGTGGGGTGGCTGTGAGAGAGGTGACTGCGAGTCTTCCTGTGGGCCTGCGGGGGTCAGGTACACCTTTCTTGACACCCTGTGGGAGCTTGGGCTCTGGATGCAGGCAACCAGGACCACGGCCCAGGCTAGGGCCTTCCAGGGTCGAGCTTAGGAGAGCAAGACACCACTTTTCTGAGTCTGGCACCTCTTCCGCAGCTGTGGCTGATGATTAGACCGGCATCGTTGGAGAGACTGACGGAGAAGACATGAGAGGGTTTGGCCCAGCTCTGGCAGGTGGCTGCTGTGTGCTATTTGTTGGCTGTAACTACATGTTACTATTAATCGACTTCCTGGCCTGGAAGACTGGCCCACATTAGCAGTACACCCCCTTTATAGGTCTTGGTGTTATGGATGAGGGTGAACCTATATGCAGGCAGGGTCCTGGTATGGACAGTCTTGTGGGCAGGGCTGCCATGCGCAGCTGCCTAAGTTGGGTACTGCTCCACTCCAGGACAGTGTCTCTCAAACAGGCTACTCGGAGGATTCCCCTACCCTCCGCTGAGTAGGTAGGATACCGCAGTGGACCTGCCCTGTTTTCTCAGACCTGTTCTCCCAATGACGAGCCCTGCACAGATGGACAGCAGACTGTCCACCTGACTCCCTCAGCATGGCTGGCCCAGTCCTACTGTAGAAGCCTGCACCCTAGAGCTCTCTCCTACCTGCACTGGCCAGCGAGAAGTGCCGGGGTGCGACCGTCCCTCTCGTTTCCCAGTTCTTCATGTTCCAAATGAACGATTTAGACTCAAATCCTTGCCTCCAACTCTGCTTCCAGGGGAACCCAGCTGGGATAGGCAGTGGGTGATCAGCTTGGAAGACTGTCCATCCCCCAAATCGGATACTGACCCCCGTCTCTCTCTGTCCTTCACAGGGTCTCAGACAAGCTGAAGCAGATCCCCCAGTCCCTGGCAGATGCGAACAGCACCGACCCAGTCCTGATCCTGGCCGACAACGCCTCCCTCATGTCCCTGAGCGAGCTTGATTCCGCCTTCTCCCAGATGCAAAGCCGCCTGCACAACCTCAGCCTGCAGCTGGGGATGGAGCCCGAGGGAGAGGCGCAGGCGCCGGCACAGGAGGAGGCGCAGTCCCAGCCGG